CTCAGAAAACTAATAGGTGTGTTTGCTTAACATGTTTTTCATGCTTTGCATAAAAAATAACAGAATTTTGAAGTTGGGATAAATCTTATCTAATTTTCTAAAGTGTCACATCCTTTTATAGGTGAGGCAACTGAGGATCAAGAGACTCGCCTGAGGCTCCCTGCTGCATTTGCTGCTCCTGTGTGTTTGTGTGTAGTGGGGGAGGAGAGATGGGGAGACATTTGCAGCCCCCAAAACCAGCTTGGAGTAGATGCCTCTGGCAGGATTTGATGTCAAGCTCCACATTTTAAATTCAGAAGAAGGTGTTGGATCAATGTTCCATTTGAGCTTAAGTGTCTTTTCTTTTAGACAGTTTTTGAGAAAGTGTATTAAAGGAGTCCAGGTCTTTATTGCACACGGCTTTCTCTGGGGGGTGGGGAGACATTAATTTGAAAACAATAAATAGACTATGCTACATGTGCCTCAGGAAAACTACCATGACTCTTCCCTCCCCAACCTCCCCCCATCCTGGTCCCTCTTTTCTAATAAGAGCTGCCAATTATCCGCCTGGTATTGTAAATATCCCAGACACTTTGTAAATATTCCCAACTCTCATTATAACAATGATAATAATAAACAGGCCTCTTTAACATGGAGATGGAGCTGCCATTCCACAGGAAATGGCTTGAACGTCTTACATGTCTTACTTCTCCAATCTTTGGAATGATAGTCAGAGAAAACGCACCTTGGGTGGACCTATGTGAAGCAAACTGCGTCCCTGAGAACTGTGTGCGAAGGTGAGAAGAAAGCAGACAGTGCGACTACACACGGGAGACCGAGACCGGGGGCTGACAGTCACAGACGCTGCTGAGAATCAGAACCACTCGTTCCTGCACCAATAGAAGTCCCTTCCCTCTCGGAAATGCCACCGCCTTGGTCTCCTCATCAGAACTCTATTTGGAATGAATCAGCTCATCTGAACGGCTCTTCTTAATGATCTCAATAGTGCTTTTTGCCTCTCACTTTGAAAGTCCTTTTTATTTTTAGGTTAAAACCCCCAATAACCCTATGAGGTAGAAATTATTCTCATTTTACAGGTAAGAGAACAAAAGGGGGGAAATCACAGTGACTGGTGGCATTTACTGATCTGACTCCAAGGGCATCTGTGCTTCCCACTTCGCATTGGTGAAGACACCAGCATCTCAGGATCTCAAGGCCCTCAAGTTATTGAACCCACTACCCCTCCCATCCCCTGACCCCTGCCCAGCCTCTCTGCTTTATGCAGAGGACCTGTGTGGGGGTGGCCAAACCCCTGTCTACCTGCAGAATTCTCCCTGGGATTCCTGCAGCAGGAGCGATGCCGTAGGGTTCTCCCTCAGATCGGCCCTGCGGAGTCCGGAGTCTGTAGGTGTCAGGTACAAGAAAGGAATGCCAGTGCTGTTGGTCAAGGGGCCACCGCTGAAGGGCAGGCAGTCCCCACATGGCAGTCCTGGCATCTACCAAACACCGGGAAATGGCTTTGTCGGTGCTGTGGACTGCCCTGAGCTGGGAGCTCAGCTCGTGTCTCTGACGGGAACTGCAGTGCTGGGCTGTGAAGACCATGGCGTCACCAGGGCTCTGACAGGGGTACTTAAGGCACAGTGGCCCCATTCTGCCCATTTACTCATTGAAGCCTCCTTGTTTCCATAGATGAGCTTCGCAGTGACCATTTGGTTAGGAGAGATGGTTAGGAGCTTAGTCTTACGCTGTGAGTACATAGCACTTTATCAAATCTGAAGGTACCAGGATTTGGGGAAGGAAATGAAATTTATGGAGGGCTATTAACACCTCTCCCACAGCCCCCTGGAATCTCACTGGTTTCACTGCTTCCCCAAGTTTTAGACAACTTTGGGGACAGGATTTAAATTTTAACTTTGCATCTTACCTAGTCTTTGGACTCCATGCACTTTCTATTATTGTTTCTTTTCAGGGCCACACCACTTTCTCTTGGATTAGTCATATTTTAGTTTTAATCAATAATATTTCATTGCCCTGGCAGGTTGCTCAGTTGGTTAAATATCATCCTGATGCGCCAAGGTTTCAGGTTCAATCCCCAGTCAGGGCACAGACAAGAAGCAACCAATGAATGAATGAATAAGTCAAACAACAAATAGATGTTTCTCTCTCTCTCTCAAATCAATTTTTAAAATGTCATTATATAATTCAACAACTTATGGGAAATTGGTTCCTCCTCCTTTTAGCTTAAAGGAAGTCACGGCCCTGAGCTGTGCCAGTCTTTGCTCACGGTCTTCTCGGAGAGAGTGAACTGCTCAGGCACACGTCAATGTTTCTCGGTCCTCTTGAGCCTGCCAGGCCCAGCACCCCTGGAGCTTCTCCTGCGCAGTGCTCCTCAGTGTGACTGAGCTCGGAACTCAGGGGCTGTCTCTGCCTCTGACAATATTGTGCAGAATTGTGATAAGGGATGGATTGAATCTTTAAGAAAACAAAATGTTAGCCGAGACCGGTTTGGCTCAATGGATAGAGCGTCAGCTTGGGGACTGAAGGGACCCGGGTTCGATTCCGGTCAAGGGCATGTACCTTGGTTGCGGGCATATCCCCAGTGAGGGGTGTGCAGGAGGCGGCTGGTTGATGTTTCTCTCTCATCGACGTTTCTGACTCTATCTCTCTCTCTTCCTCTCTGTACAAAATTAATAAAATATATTAAAAAAAAAAAAAGAAAACAAAATGTTAGAATCCTTCAAAACAGCAATGTCAGTTCACTCACAGATTCTGTTTTTCAGCTCGTTACAAATTGCCTAGCATGTGCTCGCACACATGGCAGGCTCTCTGGGTAAGTGTTCTCTTAATTCACTGAGTTTGGATTAAATGTCAATATGGGAAGGGGAACTACTAAGGGAGCTAAAGAAAGGGATGACAAAAGTCAAAATATCTTTAATATTAATACCGAATGTAACTGCTTGAAACCATCTGTGTTGCAACCGAAGATCAGCTTCCTATTGAAGCCTCCTGTCTTCTTCCTAAGGTGTGTCTAGGAGCCTGAGGTCACTGTCAGACACCACCTGGTGCCGGGAGAGAGGAGAGAGCATGGCCATAATCAGAACGAGGCTGCTACTGGGTAACATTTTAAGCTACACAGGGCCTGCACACTACCCAGACAGCCATGTGAATTCCTAGACAAGGACAGCCCAGTGGAGAAGCCGGTGATCTGGCCAGGCTCAGAGCCGGTGAGACCCATGTCTGGGGCAAGAACCTGCTCCCTGGAAATGACTGGATATCCATACAATAACTTTTTGTCATGAAGTAATAGTTCACATTACTATCCTGTAGAAAACCCCTTCCACCTATCTTAACAGCCATACAGCCCTTTCCGGAGGATGTATGCCTGGGGATGGTAAGCCCTCCTCCTTATCCATGCATTTCAGCTTCAGGTGGAATCAGGCCTAACAGGTGAGTAAGACAGTTGTGAACTGAACAGTAACATCTGCAGCAGATAACAGCGCACTCCAGCATCTACACATTTTGCACATTAAGCCTCCTTTCAGGAAAAAATCCTTGAGTCCCATTTTCTTCTTCTTTTTTTTAATGTAAATTGCCGCCAACGCCCAGCCCCCAATGTGGTTCTGTGTAAGTGCCAGGGAAGGTCTGGTGTGTTGGCAGGAGCAGTGAGCGGGGAGGGCTGACAGCCACTGCTCTGTGAGTGAGGCTGTGGTTTCAGGTCTCCGGTCAGGCGCTGATTAACTAACTGGGTCTCTATGCATATCTCCTGGCAGCGCTTCAGTCCTCATCTGCCCCTTGCCATGAATTGTTAAATTTCTTTTAAATATTATAACAAGTTACATAAAAATGAATCTGGTTTAATAATGGTCTATTCTTAGTTTCAACATTTTTAGGATTTTGTTACAAAGAGATGAATAAAAAGTGATTCAAAGCAGGATATCCTCATTTGTTGCAGATGGTATTAGATTCAAAATTATATCTCTTTAAGGAAGCTGTGATGGTGAACCAAAGAAAGTTGGGATGGGTTAATAGACTAGTGAGTAAGTCTAACAGTACTATTACATTTTGTTTTATTCTTCACTGCCTAAGGAGATCTTTCTACAAATTCTGTTTCAATTGCAGCAGGAAAATAATATCACCATTGGCCATTCACTGCTTGTACCAGTTTGCATTCTTCAAACTTTACCTTTCTCTGGAAATGTATCTGTGGTAGCAGTTAAACAGAAATGAGCAGAGCAAGGATGCTGGGCCAGGTACAGAAGGTCATCAGGGCGGACAGCCACAGGTGCCTAGCAGACAATGTAGGGTGGGATCTCATCCCCAGGGTGGGCTTTCCTCCTCAGCATATCGTTGGCCTTACAGTTTGGACCCCTGACCTTTCCTCCCAGAGGTAACATCTGGGCCTCAGTTGCAGTTCAGCTCCAGGCCCAGAGGAGCAGCAAAACCAGACAAGTGACCCCTGCCCTGGTGCTGACCCCTACCCTGGTGCTGACCCTGCCCTGGTGCTGACCCTGCCCTGTGATGACCCTGCCCTGGTGCTGACCCCTGCCCTGGTGTTGACCATGGTGGAGACTGACCCTGAAAAGACACACCAGGAAAGCTGCTGACTGTCCTACTGAGATCTTCCCTGGGACCTCCCCAAAGTCTGCTCCCTAAAGCCCTTAGGACGAAGATCCCAGCGCCTCCCTCCAGGAAGCAGGACCCTGCCTCTTCCTCTGCCTCCCAGGAGCGCACTGGCACCTTCCCCTCCCTTCTCTCCATAGGCGAGTTCACTCCCAAGCTTCTAGAGCCCTTCCTTTGCCTCTATGGCTTGTTTCCTCAGCCCATTTTTTCTAAGAATTGTTTCTTCCATCTCTATGATTTTCTAAATAAATGTTGTCTTATAGTTTGAGTCTTGGCTCTGAATTCTTTCCTAGACAGAACCTAAATACCGAGGTTGCTGAACCCAGGCCAGTCTGACCCCCCCACCAATGTAACCCCTGGTGCCCTTCCAATGGGCCCACATTATATCAATTTCTGTACTCCCAGCAAGATTTCTCTTCTGTGAAGTCCCCAAATAGAAATGCTTGGGAAGCCTGAAGGAGAAGCAAACAGCTACCAATATTATTCTCCAAATCAGTTTATATGTTTCATCAAAACCAACTCCTTGAAATACACATAAACATAAAATAGACAATACTGCACTATATTATGTACATAAAATCTTTTTTCTTTTCAATACAAAGGTTTTAGCATTTCTTATATTTTTAAGAATGAAAATATATGTTTTTTCCCTGTACTATCCAAATAAATACTCTTACTTATTAGCACTGCTTTCCCTGAAGTGAATGTTTCCGGAGTTTTAGGGCACATCTGATATGTGAATCATAAACTTCTGTCCATCGTTTAGGGTGATAAGGGCCTCTTGTCTCACAGGGAGGCTGAGTTTGACAGTGCTTTCAGTGGCTATGTCTTCCAACAATACCTGGACCAGCTGCAAGAGGGAAATGTTTAAAAGCAAAAGATTAAAAAAAAAGTGAATTTGAATTCTTCTACCATACCCTCACCCCCATGTTGGGAAGCATGTGGATTTATTTCTGCCTCAGGAGATCCTAATTTCCCAGGGGAATGCTCAGGATCTGGTGAGGACTTCATGGAAGGAAAGAATCTCCACCCGGATGCTGCCAGAGAGGCCAGGGGAGTGGGAGCAGGTGGGCTCTGTTTAGGAGAAGGAATGGGGCTGCCTGCCATTGTTGGTGAGACACTGGTTAAAAACAACACTCTCCCATTAAAGATGTGGGAGAACGAGACTCAAGAGGAAGCTGTGAAATACCCATGGGCTTCCCTGTGGCTGTAGCGCACATCCCTTCGGCTGCCTTCCAGATGGGTACCAATACTGCATTCTTGTCAGTTCTGGGATAACATAATTGGGTCAAGTTCTCACATAGACCCTCCCTCCACCACCTATCAAATACACCAGTAGATATGGAGGAAAAGATCTGTGAGAACAACCATTGGGGAAACTGGCACTCATGGTGCAGTAATAGATTTGAGAGGTTCATGGACTCTGATAGGAACCAAAGTGCCAGCTCTCACATAAGGCATCTGACTTGCCTGAGAGGGTCTTCCCATCAGAAGGACAAGGATAACATGCCATCCTTCCCTTAGCTCAGAGGGAGGACAGGCAAATCCTGCACAGGATTACCTTAGAATCCAGCAGTGATATAGTTTCTTGGTCGGATTCCATTAATAAGCCCCCAACAAGCTACTATATTTTGACAAAGGTGTGTACAAGATAACTTCAAATGCAAGGTTCTCACCCTTCCTCTGTACATTTGATAATAATCATCATCACCCAATGCAAAAATGTTTTATTTTCTAAAAAAATATTGTCTTCACCTTTACCTTACAGCTGAAGTGTCATTTGTCATTTTTAATTCTTTTGCTATGCTTTAATCCTTGAGTCACAGGACCTACAGTAAAAACTATAAGAATTTTCAAAAGGATATTATGAATACCATCTAATAACAGTGTAATTTTTACAGTATTCTTAAAACACCTTGCTGTCTTATTGTTTTGAACATTGCTAGAAGAGTGACAGATGGCGATGGCAATCTGAGTGCTGACCTGGGTTCTCACCACAGGTGCAGGGCAATGCTAATTGTTCAATGAATGCAGCTGACACAGATGTGCAACTGAAAGGGCGTTAGTCATGGTAGATGAGTGCAAATGGGGCACTTTGCTGATGGTGAGTGCAATGTTGAATAATGAATGCAATGAAAATTAAGTGAGCATAACTTTTTGGTATTAAATTAAGTCACTATCACTAATTCAGTGAGCATTCACCAAGAGAAGCAGGTTTAATTAATTTCTAGTGCATATTACCTTGGATTATGTGACATTCATCTGCTTTTAATGTTTTAATACCTTATTTATTTTTTCTGCCAATTAAATATACAGTTATGCACCACTTAACTATAGGGATACATTCTGAGAAATTTGTCATTGGGCAATTTCATCATTGTGTGAACCTCATAAAGTGCACCTAGATGGTATAGCCTACTACACAACTAGGTTGTACGGTTAGCTTATTGCTCCTAGGGACAGAGCTGTACAACATGTTAATGTACAAAACAACACGAGATTAAATAAAATACAAGAGAAAATGGTGCAATAAAGAGACTGTAGCCAGTGTGACACCCCATGCCGTTGTATAGCAAATGTTCTTTTAAAGTAGAAAGAGAACACTCCAAAGTAATGATAAAAGATATAGCATGATAAATACCTAAACCAATAGCAATTGTTTATTATCGTTATCAAGTATTATGTACTATACATAATGTATATGCTATGCTTTTCTACTACTGGGGGGCAGTAGGTTTGTTTACATCAGTATCACCACAAACACGTGAGTAATGCATATGTTGTGCTTTGATGTTACTAGGTGATAGTAGTTTTTCCACTTTATTCTAATCTTATAGGACCACTGTTGTACACATGGTACATTATTGACCAAAATGTTATGTGGCACATGACTGTAGGTAAAACCCCAATACAATGAATTTCAGAATTGCTAGTGGGTTGGGTAGAGAGTGTTAGGAGGTTTTGTTGAAGAAATAATAACAATGATAATTACTATGACCTAGGAGTTTTATGTTCTAAGAATGATTAAATTACTTAAACCTCATTCTGGCACCATGGACTTAGAAATTATTATTACTCTTTTGTAGATGAGGAGACTCAGGCCCAGATAAATGAGGCGACTTTTCCAAGATACTCAGTGGGGGATGTAGAGTTTAAACACAGGAAGTTATGTACCAGAAATGCCTACTTATTTCCCCAAATCATCAGACTCACTGATTTTGGAATGAAAACACATGATCATACCCTTTAAGAGAGAAAAAGTGCTAGAAAAGGATAGTCTCAGAAGATTTATTGGGGTTTGAATCCCTGCTCTGCCAATATATTATTGGTGAAGTAAGCTTGGGAGCATTACTCATCCCCGTAGGGGCTTCAGTTTTGCTATCTGAGAAATGAGAGCAATGATAACACCATCTTGTTGAGTTGCATTGAAATACCCAATACAGGGAGCCCTTCAGTATCTGCTCTCCAGCCACTTCCAATTCTTCCCCAGAGGTGAAAGTTTATTCCCAGTTACCTTGGTGACTAAACTGTCTACCATCCGAGCTCTTGCTCCAGCCAGTGATGAGAGAGATCAGCGCTGTTGGAGCTGAATGCCCAGCACAATGCTTGTCTTGTTAGGGCTGTATGGAATGCTTCGGTGTATTTAGTTGAGCTTCCCACTGGCCAGCCGTGCAGGGCCCTTTGCCAGGTTGGGATATATTCTGTATAGATGGTACAAGGGCCAGGGAGCAGGGAGACATTCTCCTGTGCACAGCACAGCCAACTAGTCCCTTCTTAAACTTTGACTGGGCCTTTTCTCTGCCAAGAGTCCTGAAACACCAACTGCCTGCTCCAGCTGTTCCTCTTCTAAGGAGGAACAGTTACTCCCATCCCCATTCCTTTGCCACTGGGTCCATGAACAAATACCTCATTAGTATGTCTGCTTTATACACATACTAACAAAAGAGGTGAGTTTCTTATTTATAGACACATGTCTGAATCTACTGTACCTAGGCCAGTAGACAGCTGGATACATGAATTAGCCATTGGGAAAGAAGACCAAATACAGACAGAGAATTAATAAAACCGAGAGATGCATTTCCTTCTCTCTGATCATAGTGTTTTTGTCCAGCATAGAGTCCCTTTTGAGCAGTGCTCCATGGCAGCTTGTACAGGTTATTTGCACTCTGGAGAACTTTTGAAGAGGCTTTGTGCTGGAAGGAGAGGGCTCTGGAAGGTTCCAGTTATTTTGGGGACTGTAGGGCATGAACACTTTCAGGCTGTGACTTATCCCTTAGCCAGGACCACAGTTAAACCAGGTCAAGGGCCATGCCCTGCCTATAATGGTCTCCTACTAAGCCCTCTCATCTACTCAAAAGAGGAACTCATGGGTGCAGAAGAGATACTATGTAACTGGCTAAATTTCAGAATGTAGGTACAGAAGTTTTAGAAATTAGTACCAAGACAATTGTCAGGATTTTGTAAACTAGCCACTCCCCTCAATCATTGGAAGTGCTTCAGTTGCTTCTTGCATCAGTATGGCTCCTCATTTTGGTTTTCAGCCAGATCTCTGACCTTGATAACCTGTGTTCTACACTTCTCAGGGCATGAATCATGTTCCTAGTGTTGTGGAAGAAGAATGAACTTGAGATCATGCAGGCCAGGGCTCCAATCTCTGTGTCTCAATTTGCTTACTGTATGACTTTGTGCAAGTTACCTAGCTTTTCTGAACCTCCGTTTTCTCATCCATCATGAAAGTGGTCATAATAGACACTCTGTAGTATTGTATGGCTTCAAGATAATGTATATAAAGGGTGTACAGTAAGTGTTGGATAAATAACAATCCTTAATTTTATGTCTTTCAATTCCATCTTTTCAAATCCTTTCTGTTTAGACCACCCAACTTTTCCTTCCTTGATGCCAGAGGCATTTTCAGTGCATACCACTCAGTGCAGTGGCTAATGGCAATCTATTTTTCAGTTAGCCTGACCATGTCAGGGAAACTCCTGGAAGGCAAGACCCTGTTTTAAAAAATTTTCTTTAAGAAGAGAGAATAAATTTCTTGTATTACTCCAGGCCCTTGGAGCTTTCCAAGAATCATCTCTGTTAAGGCCTTGAAATTTTAACATGAAAAAAACCATCAAACAAATATCTATATATGATTTAAATATTACAATACCTGTTATTATTATCTATTATTATCTTAAGATATCAATTAGATTTAGACTAGTTTTTGCATAGAAAGTTTTTGGTTGAGATCACAGAATTAATCCTCTTTTTTAATTAGACCAATAATAAGCAACTTATTTTGAATTCCTAATTATTAGAGAAAACACATTTTAACTATATAATTTCTCCCCATTTAATTTGCACTTTGAACTTTTAAAGCTGGCAAGTCAAATATATTTTGCATGTCCTAGATTAATAACACTTTACATTTCTAAGAAAAATACAAGACATAATCAATTAAGAGCTTCCATTCTGTCCTCTAGATTTTTTATGAGGCAAATTTAAACTTTATTTTTTATTTATATAATTAAGCCAACTTCCAAAAAATTGTTGTCACAGAAGTTTGGAGGAAGTTTATAGCCATTCAAACGCAAAATACCACATTCCTCAGCACACTGGAGAGTGGGCTTCCTGATTGGATCTCCCAAATCCTCTTTGCTCTGGGGGAAGTTTCAGCAACAATTCTGGCCACATTTTTTCATGCTTAAAAGATAAAGACAGGTCTTAAATTTTTTCTTTCTTTTTTGCTTTCTGAAGTAATAACTAGAACCCAATTTGGCCAAGATCAGCATTTCCCTGCAAATTCTTTTATAACTTTTAAAGAAAACTTTAAGTAATCTCATTGCAGGAGAGCAGATAGCCTTGCCCTCTCCTGCCACCTTTGAATTTCTCCACACCAGAGGCTGTTTCAGCAGTGGAGTTTCACTTATTACAGATTTTAAATTCCAAATACAAACTAATATTTTAACAAGAAACCACATTCTTTAAGCATACAAACCAAAATTCTATAATAAAATTTACTTTATATTTATAACCTAATTCTTCCCCATTAGCCTGACTGAAAAAGACGTTCCCACCCTACTTACAGTTCGCAACTCTGCAGCTGGCCGGGGGCTTTGAGTGCGGTGAATTTCCCTCACCTTTTTCCGGTGAATTTTTTTCCTTCCTTCGCTCTTAGGCGAAAACTACCTTCTCCTCCAGAAGTCCCTGTTTGGGCGCCAGATATAGGACTCTCTTCACGGCCCTGGTAGAAAGAGTTCCAATTCAGGGTCCAGCTTCTGGAGAAGGGCCGCACACAAATGAAGAGACTTGAAGAAATTCAATTTGGTTATATGGGGGGCCAGGCAGTAGTCCAACTCTAGTGGGAGAACTACTCCTGCTCTGGCCCTGCCATCCCCTTTTATTGAGGCTTTGGGGAAAACATCTTAGGCAACATAAACAGAAATGTACATGTAGCCCTTGGGCCGGAAATAACAAACTTTCACGGACAAGGTAGATTATGCTTCAGCTAACAATATCTCAACTAAAGGTTAGAGCAATTAAGATTGTTGACCAGCCTTCCTGGCTTCCTGTCAACATCTCTTTTTTAGTGAAACTGGCTTGTTTTCCAGCACCTGTGCCCTGGAGCCTCCCCTACCACTGATCCTGAGGGTCCTGGGTGGGCCCACCACCCACGTGGCCTTCCAGGTCCAGAGAACCCCAGCAAGGTGACCTCTGACAGGAAGCACAGAGAGTTCACTAGCCTGAGCCACGAAAGGGAGTTAAACTCCATCTGCTATGAGAGAGGGAAAGCAATTCCTACAGAGAAAGGGTGCCACTCTCAGAGCAGGAGGATGCACCCCTCAGCCTCCCTTAGCACACAGGGAAGCAAGGGAGAGGGTGGAAGGGAAGGTGCGGGCAGCGTGCAGAGGGGCCCTGCTGCCATCTGTGGGGATCAACACGCAGCCCATGCCCATTGCAGTCTGCATGGCTGCATCTCCTGCCAGGCTGCAGGTGAGGGATGGCGGCGGGTACTCTGCATGGAGAGACTTCTCCCTCGGAAGGCTGCAGGGACTGTCACGGGGAGACTGGCCAGGGAGACAGGGGAATTTGGTCATCCAAGAGATAAGAGTAAGTAATGTCCAACTGAGAAGCAGATGGGAGATCTGGCCTATTGAAATTTCTTAAAGTTAATTTTTTAATTCTTATAAAAGCACACATCTTATATAGATATAAAATGAACTTGTGTCAAAGATTTTATGTAACTCATGAGTGGATGAAGGAACTGGTAAGTTGTTACAATTGGTTCAAAGGAGAAGTCAAAGTACCAAGCAGAGGTGGACAGCAGGGAGTGACAGAGCCGTGCAAAGGGTTCTGTCCCCGGGGTGGCCATTAGTGGCAGTCACTGGCACCAGCTTGCAGTTCTAGGGCAGACTACCACCAGTATTTGCATTATAATTGTGAGAGCGAACCAGCAATCTTTTCTGTCAAAAAAAAAGAGCTTGCTGCCATCTTAGCTTCTGCCATGTTGATATACCTTCAAACTCTCAGTGGGCTACCATCTTCGCTTCGCCTTGCCCTTCCCCTTCCTCCGAATTAGCCAATCGCACAAAAATGTGAATCAGAGTTCTGAGCTCTGACCAATCAAGTCAGAGTCAGAGTGAGGGGCAGGGTAGACCATGTCATGGAATAACACCCCTTCGGACTTCCCGTTTGGAGTGCTTAGCCCATGATTTTCAGCCAGCAACTGCACCCTTCTCCAGAAGTAAATTTGCCTTGCCGATCCAGTTTTGAGTGTTTGTCTCATTCCCAAGACATTGCGGAATGATGAGCATTTCTAATGTTATCATTTGATAAAGGGTACAGAGTTGTAAAATAACTAAGACGATGAAAGATGGGGACACTCAGAAGGGGTGCTAAACCTTTTTGCTCATTTCAAAACCCTTCACTGCAGAGGTCGCCAATCAGTGGTCTGAGGCCACTGGTGGCCCATGAGGTCTCAAAGGTTGGCGACTGCTGCCTTACTTCATATTACTCCTAGATGGCCCTGTGGTGAGGATACTGGTGAGGTGGGATGGCCTGGTCTGATCTGGAATGAGCCTGACTAACCTGTTTAACTTGGAACCTCGGTCCATGTGATGAGGAAAAGCCACTGGTGCTAACACTTTGCTTCATGGGGAGGTCCAGAGAAGGTAGTGAGGGCAAAGCAACAAACACAGACTGGGTTTTTCCCCATGACTGCACAGGAATCACTGGCACAAAGCAGAGTCCTGTTGAGCACCACTGAAAGGAAGGGCCTCATGCAAACGGTTGTCACCTACATGGCAGCTTACAGCGCCGCCCTGGACAGATCTCAGAGTGTTTGCAAGACTGACCCAGAGTAGCACTGGCCTGGCTTCCCTGCTGCACCTGCACCTGGGAGGCATTGGCAGCCTGGGGAGCGTACTCCTCCCTGCTGAGTGTGCGAGCTCCCAGGGCAAAGACCACCTGGCTGCCACTGCTCTCTGCCCCGTGCCCAGCAAGGTGCCCGGGACTTTGGGGGGCACAATAAGTGTCTATTGAGATGAATGATCCTTTTGTGGACCAAAGGCCACATGCTACCCTGACAAGCTCAGGCGAGGCCTGCGTGGCAGTCTCACAAACTTAAAGACCTACAGTAACCACAAAGGGCAGTCTGAAATTAAACATTAAAGGTAGGTAGTCATGTCCTAGGCCGGTTTTTCCCTGACAAGGTTAATTTTTACCTTACCTGAGCCTATTGTCTTTTTTCATCTACGATAGCATACCTATGAAATGTCAGAGCAACTTGTAACTTCCCTTCCCCCACCCCAATCCCTGGGGCACAACCAAATGAGCCTGGGCACCAAAAGGGAGAGCGTAGATTCTTTCATTATTATTGTTATCATGTTAATTGTTGACTGTTAACTACCCTGTGTCTACTTAAGTAATGTGTCTATCATTTTACTTCTTACCCAATCCCAGAGCCCCCCTCCCTCCACCACCACCACTTAGCGTTCTCCCGCCTCCCTAATCTATCACCAGTAGATTTCATGTAACCCACTTACATCCCTTCCCTTGATGTAAAGTATAAAACAAGGTGAACAACCACCATTCTCCTGAGCATTATCCCAATCCAACCCATTGAGATTCTGCTTCTGGGCAGTTGTTAATAGTTTGGCTCAAATAAACTCACAAAAAATTCTTTTCAGCTCTGAATGCTTTCACATTAACACTTTTCATGGGACTGGAGGGCTCTATGGGGAGGTTCTGCACCTGAGCCATGGAGGTGACTGATGTGAGCTCTGACAGAATGGTCATCTATCCGAAGATTTGCAAAATAGATACTACTTCACTCTTCCCACCACCTGCAAACATCGGTGACTTTACCAATTGTTACTTCTTAAAGTTAAATGCCCCAACCACTAATTTTTTCTCCATCTCACTGACCTGCCTGGGTGCTTTTCTCAAAATGTCCCAAAGCACACTCGTCAAAGCAAGGGCGTGCTTCCTACCTGCCCAACAATGAGGAATGGGAAGCAAAGCGTGGCCAGACTGCTTGGTGGGAACTATTCTCATGTTGCTATTTTCAAAAGTTGCTGTAGTTTTGTACAGCTTTCTGTGTCTGTGTTGTATTTTACATAAAAAGAAAATGGCAATATGAAACATTCTTAAAGGCAGAACAATGTTTTGCATCCTCTGACTCACCAAAGCTGTCCCTGTGGCGGAGAGTCATGACTTTGCTCACCGTGGTGAGGACGAAGTTCCAGCGCAGCTGGAAGCCGGCAGCCAGTCTGAGAAACTCCTCTTTGCTTCTGGGTGGCTATTACATTTTTGCAAAAAAAAAAAAAAAATTCAAGGTTTTATGACAAAATGAAAGAGGACACGTTTTGAAATGCACACAGTACAGTTGCCAGATACTTATATTCAAGGGGTCCAATGGGAAGAGAAAGAAGAAATAAGGTGAGAAGGGAGTAGTGACCCACCAACCTTTTTCTCATTTTGATCCATCTCCTCAGAAATGGTTCCAGGGCAGAACCCCTGGTGTTGGTGGAGAAAGGAAGGAGGTGGAAAACTGGCCTTTTTTTCTTTCTTAAAAAGTTATACACAAGTTTTAGAATGAGCTCACTTGTGAATCGTGTCAAAGAAGTCCTTCAGGGACAGCCTCACCAAACCCGCTTGGCAGTTGCTATCGAGAGGGTCGGTGGGACATTTAGTCCTTGCCAGGTCTGCTACTGTGAAAAAGTGGCCGCATCCCATGACCACAAGCAGCATGGTGCTGACTTTGGGAAGCACAGAACTGACTGCTGCACTATGTGAATTATCTGAGTACAGGAAGGTCCCACCAGTGTGTCTGGTGGAGCGGAGGCCATCTGACAGCCCAAGTGTCACTAAACTGGCAGCGGTGAGATGCTTCTGCATGCAGACAGAGACTCTTCTTGTAGATGGAGAGTAGCCTTGGGCTGCACTTTAAATGCATGACAAGCAACGGAGTCCTGTTAATCTCACAGGCACACATTGGGATGGATGGCCCTGAAGGCCCCCTGAGTCTCATCATATAAATGTGAACCACCCATGGCTCAACCCAAGTCTCTGAAGAGAGGACAGAGAGACTGGTTAGACATGAGGACACCTCCTTTCTCATCTTCCCATCAGCCCCCACGGGACCCTCCCCTCCCCCCGCCAGGTACTGAATGAAGGGTTGTCCTGGGCTTTGGATGCGCGTGGATTTCCTTCAGTATCAGCATCCTCCCAAATGACTGACCGCCTGGGCTGGAGTGTCTCACCACCTGGTACAGGGCTCCTGGAAGGAACCGTGGGCTCAGCAAGTACAAGGACACATTATAAAGCACCATGAGGAAGAGTCTGGTGGTTGGCCCACTCTGCACTGAGCACTCCTCTGCCTGCACCGGTGTGGCACCTCAGGGTCCTACTGATTCTCTTGGGCCTGACTGCATGAGATCCAGAAGGAGGAACACGTGACACATTGACCTTCCCTCTAGCAGGCTGCCAGATGGGAATGGCTGGAGCCATCGGTCACCCCTGCCAAGCCCAAAGATTTACATTTCAGCCGTTTCAGTATTTCATTGGCAGTAGTGTTTTGTTTTGTTTTATCAGCCAAGCTGTTTTACAAGAACAAGCTCTTCGAAGGCAAGCAGGTACCAAACACCATCTTGCTAACATGCCTCATTTGTGAAGATGAATATGTGATGATGACTTGGGAGACACGTGGTGTTACAAGGTTTAGATGGAGCCCGAGCCCGCCCGGGGCTGCTGGGAGGTAGGGTTGCTCTTAAGGGGCTCAGGGGCACAGCTTGGTGTGTTAGAGGCTGAGCAAGAGGAATGGAAGGTTTGATCAGTGATAACCTTGCCAATGAGTGAACGCCTCGGCAGCAGTGCAGCTCCAGACACATTACCACTGCTACCAAGAAGCTCTCCCAGAGATCGCCAAGGACCATGCATACCACTCAGAATCTGCATGGTGGCTTCCAAAAAGCAAAGCAGACACAGACACCGGCCCAGAGTGTGAGCCAGCTTTCTTGGAGAGCGTTCTGGTTCATCTCAATGAGGTTTTCACCCAGTGCCCCTGCAGTCTTTATGAATGTGCCAGTCATCGCCTCTGCCCTTTCTCATGGGCTGGGATGGACAGGCATATGGGCAAGGCCAGGTGGGGAGGACGGGAGAGAAAGAAATGTGACCGAGGCTTAAAGGAGGGAGCTCCCAAGCCCAGCTCCCAGGGCCACGCCTCCAGGCTTGTCTGCTCCCGGATGTCCTCTTCTTCCCCACACAGGCCTCCACACTCTGCACGCTCACTGCCCCGGTGCATGGCCTCCTCTCGGGGATGGCGTCTTGTTATGTTAGTTTCACCCTGTCTGCCCTTCTTGTCCCAACTTAAACCGCCTCCTCATCAGGCCTTCCTAACTGCTCAGTTTGCAGAGGGCACTGCTCAGGCGGGAGGCCTGCTGCCTTGTTTTGGTCTCCAATCAATGCACTGCCCCAGCCCCACCCCCCAACCCCATGCGCCCACAGGCCAGGGGTGCTGTGGCTTTCTCTGATGCACTTTCAACTCCGCAAGTGTGATTGCTGACGCAGCTGGTGCTGATGATTGAGCCCAACAAGGACCCTGTAATTCCCAACTTGGTCACCCAGAAGGGCCCAACTCACCCACACTCAGCACCAATTCTCCTATCCTGCAAAACCAAGCCTGATGCTCTACTGGGATATTTCTGCAAAATACACAGACCAGTACTGTTCTCCCCAAACAGAGGAAAGCACTCCTCCTATACGCTCGCTCACACTCACCCGTGGTTATGCACACACACTCATTTACTTCCCCTGCACATACAGGCTCATCGCACACATACAGTGCACACTGAGCCAGCACGTGTACACACCTGCTGGACATAACAGCTTCTAACTCCTGCCTGCCGCAGGAGGGAGACACTGCTTTCTGTCCTCGGCACCCACACCACACAGGCCAGAGAAACATCCTTTTCATGCCACTAGGCCGTGGGCACTTGGTGCTGTTATGTAGCTAGAGTGATCAACACCCACTTCTTCCCCTAGAAACATATGGTTTTGTACCTGGAAGACAAATGTTTGGAGATTCGAAGACAGACAGTTCAGGAATATTAGATACATAGAGATCTGTGGATGTTCCCAACAAAGAAATTAAACTGCTTAGACCTGTAAAGACACAAATAAACAGAAAGCATGCCAGCCTCCTGGAGGGCAGCCACTGAGTCTGTGACGCTGTCCCAGGAGCCCCAGCTGTTGCATCCCCCCCTTTCCCACTCCCCATTGACACCAATAAAGGCCGTTCAGACTGTTGTGAAATTTTTAAAAGATAAAAAAGACTGCTAGCAATGCAACAGAATTCTGCTGTCGGTATTTGTAGGCTGGGTAACCCAGGGACACCATCTGAGCAATAGTTCAAAAGCACCCCCTGGGCTTCGCACCCAATTTGAACACAAAGGACACATTCTAAGACAGATGTGTCACACCTGTGGTCATTCAGTTCAGAGTTATATGGTCTTGCCTCCTAGGAGGCCGCTGCCACTTGCTGAATTGGAAAGAAATATTTCGAAATAATAACTACACCTTGCAATTAATTCCGCAGACTGGCTCCAGGTGAGCTCATTGCATGACGCAGACATGACCTCGCCTCTTCGTGTCATTTCCATTAAAGTGGTACTTTACCCATGTCCCTCACTGAGGGACGCTCAGTGCCTTGCTGGGCTGCAGGCTCCGGGCGGACATGAGGGGCAGAGCCTGAGCATGTGTGACGTGGGGACTGGAGTCCGTCAGCTGCGTGGTCAGCACTGAGCGCAATGAACCAGCCTTGCCCTCCCGCCTCCTGAGTGCTGTTGGGTGCCACACGGAGTTTAGGAAACCTGCTCGGTTGCCTTGGCCCTGGCTGAGGCTGGTCAGGGTGCACCCGACAGACCTTCCAGGCATACTGGGAGCATGTGCCTGCCGGTGGCTACCAGCATGCCAGGTCCCTGCTGGCTCTGTGTCCTCGTGGAAGGACCCCCTAGGATGCCAGCAGGCACACAGGAGCCCCGGGCAGGCCCAGGCATCCCGGCAGACACCGAGGAGAGGCCTCATGTCTTGCCCCCAGGAGAGGGCTCCCTGGGGGCAAGAACAGGGTTTGAGCAACCCCCTGAGATTTCGGGGGGAGCCAGTGCCCAAGAGGGGGCCCTTTGAGTTCCTATAGTCAGCCCTGCTCTCCACAGCTTCACAGCTGCTGGCTTAGGTGCTTACTTTATTTGTTTGTTTGTTTGTTTATTTATTTATTTATTTATTTATTTATTTATTTATTTTTAGAGAGAGAGTGGATTGGAAAGGGAGAGACAGGAAGAAACATCAATGTGAGAGAGACACATCTATTGGTTATCTCCCACACATGCCCCAACCAGGGCTAGGGATCAAACCTACAACTGAGGCACATGCCCTTGACCAGAATCAAACTCATGATCCCTCAGTCCGTGGGCTGATCTCTAACCACTGTTGTTCACCATTTGGTTACTGGTGTGGTCCATAGGGGGATCCCTAGGGAGGAGCTAGGATTTGGGATAGTGACAGAGCAGGGAGATGATCGAGGGAGCAGAGGCTGGGGTGCGTGAGCAGAGGCTGCTCACCAACAGGAATGGGCCTATTTCAGTGTTTCACTAACTGGTACAACCGATCAAAGTCAGCCCTATGCCAAGGTCAAAGAGGACAGGAGAAGCTGTGCTCTGCACGCCTTGCTGAATCCCTGTCCATCAGCTCATGAAATGCTGAAGAGCAGCCATGTGCTGGTGGACAAAGATGAGAAAGACAGCACTGAGCCCTGAGGAGCGCGCAGGGAGGGAGGCAGCTTATGCAGGGCTGCGTGCACGGGTGAGGTTCCGCCCACTGGGAAGAAGCTGCTAGACCTTCCATGGCATCGGGCAGGGTATCTGCAAAGGGCAGAGAGGGAGCGGAGTGCCCACAGCGTCCTGCAGTGCCCTCCGAAAAAGGCCTAGAGACAGAGATGGGCCTGGAGGCTGGGGGATGGGCACAGGGCCCTGCAGCTCCCAGTGCCCCTCCAACCCCCCGGGGGACAGTGGGGAGAGCCCCTTCTCTGGTCCAGGCTCCTCCTGGAGGACTGTCAGCAGCTCACAGAGCTCTTTGTGGAAGAAATGTTTTTGTTGAAAAATAATTACAATTATCAGATAATAAAAGCAGTGTGATACAGTGAAGGCACATGGTGCGCATTAAGTGACCCTAACGGCTGTGCACAGAACCCGCAGGGCAGAGCTGATGCAACCTATTCAGACCAGAGAGCAGAGGGGTGTATGGTACCAGTCTGAGCGACCTTCCCCCAAATGACGCTCCAGGGTGATTTCCAGAAAGTCTGGTCAAGCAGTACCACTCATCTGCTCATGTATTCACTCAGCAAACACGTGCCAGCACTGACTCTGGGGCCGGCCTGGAAGAGCACTCTGGGGCATTCCGTGCCCCTGCAGGGGAGATGAATTACACAGCAATGCCAACCTGTGTTCCTCCTCCCCTCTCTGGAGAAACTGCTAACTGAGCACAGGCTCTGCGGCCCCATGTGCCGCACGGTCCACAAAGAGGGGGCAGGACGCCACATCTCACGGCCACGCTCTCCGGGCCACCCTGCTGCTCCGGTGACAGGCCAGGGCTTTCGTGGAAACCGCAGGGATGCCCTGCAGGTGCGACTTCAGGAGGCTGACTTGCCTGTTGTTCTCCAACAGCGTCCTCATGGTCTAGCCAGAACAAAAGCAAACTTCACTGGATCCTGTCATTTCACTTCCCTAGGCCGCCATCACAATAAGCAAGAGGTATTGTTATTGAAAATAAAATTAAGTGAACTAAATTAGAATCCTCAGTGACAGCGAAAAGGCTCCAATTCACACATCCTCTAGCTGCTTTTCTGAAAAATAGCACTGAGAGTGCTACTCCTCATGGTTAAGGCTCTGAGGATTCTGAACTCTTCCTCTCCCTGCTCTCTGTACCTCTCCTTGCTCTCCTCTCCTCCACTCTCCCTGCTCTCCTCTCCCTGCTCTTTTCTTCTCTCCTCTCCCTGCTCTCCTCCCCTCTCCTCTTCTTCCTTCCCCCTGCCCTCCTCTCCTCTCACTGCTCTCCTCCCCCTCCCTCCTCTTCTCTCCTCTCCCTGCTCCCCTTCCCCTTCTCTCCTCCCCTCTCCCTTCTCTCCTCTCCTCTCCTCTCACTGCTCTCCTACCCTCTCCTCTTCTCTCCTCTCCCTGCTCTCCTCTCCTCTCCCTGCTCTCCTCCCATCCTTCTCCTCTCCTCCCCTCTCCTCTTCTCGCCTCACACTGCTCTCCTCTCCCTGCTCTCCTCCCTCTCCCTGCTCTCCTCTCCTATCCTCTCCCTGCTCTCTTCTACTCTCCTTGCTCTCCTCCCTTCTCCCTGCTCTCCTCCCCTCTTCCTGCTCTCCTCTCCTCTCCTTCCTCTCCTCTCCTCTTCCTGCTCTCCTCCCCTCACCCTGCTCTCCTTTCCTCTCCATGTTCTCTTTCCCTCTCCCTGCTCTCCTCCCCATATCCCTGCTCTCCTCTCCCTGCTCTCCTCACCCTGCTCTCCTCTCTCTACTCTCCTCTCCTCCCTTCTCCCTGCTCTCTTCCCTCTCCTCACTCTGCACTCCTCCCCTTTTCCTGCACTCCTCTCCTCTTAGTGCTCTCCTCTCCTCTCCCTGCTCTCCTCTGCTCTCTTCTCCCTGCTCTCCTTCCCTCACCTCACCCTGCTCTCCTCTCCCTGCTCTCCTCCCATCCTCCTCCTCTCCTCACCTCTCCTATCCTATCCTCTCCCAGCTCTCCTCCTATCTCCCTCCTCTTCTCCCCTCTCCTCTCCTCTCCTCACCCCGCTCTCCTCTCCCTGCTCTCCTCCCCTCTCCCTGCTCTTCTCTCCTCACCCTGCACTCCTCTCCTCACTCTGCTCTCCTCCCCTCTCCCTCCTCTTCTTTCCTCTCCCTGTTCTCCTTCCCTCTCCTTCCTCTCCTCTCCTCTTTCTGTTCTCCTCCCCTCTTCCTCCTCTCCTCTCCTCCCTTCTTCCTCCTCTCCTCTCCTCTCCTCTCCTCTCCTCTCCTCTCCTCTTCCTGCTCTCCTCTCTTCTCCTTGCTCTCCTCCCCTCTCCCTCCTCTTCTCCCCTCTCCCTGCTCTCCTCCCCTCTCCCTCCTCTTCTCCCCTCTCCCTGCTCTCCTCCCCTCTCCCTCCTCTCCTTTCCTCTCCCTCCTCTCCTCTCCTCTTCCTGCTCTCCTCCCCTCTCCCTGCTCTCCTCCCTTCTCCCTCCTCTCCTATCTCTGCTCTCCTCTCCTCTTCTTTCCTCTTCTCCCTGCTCTCCCCTCCAATCTCAATGCATTTAGACTCTGGGAGTTGGTTTCCACAGCTGTCCAATGGAAACAATCCAGTCCTCTACATTTTAGGGCCTGTAGGTTGTCCTCACACCCCTAGAGTCCCCTCATCTTGCAGAGGAGAAAGGAAGGATGCTTGCGGGCATGCAGTAAATCACCGCAGGTGACAGGCGGTATAAGATGGACCCGAGTTGGCCAGTGAAGGTGCTGCTGCAGAGCCCTCAGCAGCCCAGTGGTTCAGGACTGGAGACAGTGATCCAGAGGCCCAGCTGAGCACCCTGAGCTGAGACCAAGTGGCCATCCTTGGCTCTGTCCTGATGGCACCCATAACGTTTCCAGCAGACTCCTGAGGCCCACTTCCAGCATCGGTAGCCTTCTCCTCACCTCCCTCTAACATGGCGCAACATCATCACTCAGGAGAGGAGGTGGGAGCCCAGGCGCCTGGCAGCCAGGACACACCATGCCCACGGGCCACGTGTAGGAGGAGGGGCTCCGTCTGCATCCCAGGCTATGCCACAGGGCCCATCACCCAGACTGCTGCCTGGTCGACCCCTCCCCCAGTCTCCCTGAGAAACTTTAGAATGGCAGCCTGTGTCTGCTTCTGTCCGGGCAGAGAGCTGGTGAGGGGCCCTCTGAGGAGGGGCAGCGAGGCGGCGCTTCTGTGGCCCAGCAGGCCTGCCAGTCAGTGGCCAGAAGGCCCTCCGGTCTGCCCTCTGGGTGGAGGGAGCACCCGTGCCGTGGACAGACTTGCAGGGTTCACTGCAGAAAACTGCTCTGTGCCCTCCTGCCTGGCTGGCAGGACCCTACCTTTGCCATGTTGGTTTGTCTTTCTTCTTAGTCTTTTGACAAACACGGTAACTTCTGCTAAGAACAATACACGACCATTACTGATTCTGCAGCGCCAAGTTCTCCATAGGACAGCAGAGATACAGGACTGCCTCCCTCCCAGGGATGCTTTCATGCAGCCTGGCTTCCCTGCGCCCGGACTCTCTCCCAAAGGCTGGGAGGCCTTGGCAGGGCGACGTGACTAAAATGCTCCCCATCCATCCCAGAAAAATCATGTCATCCCAGCGTCTGTCACCCTGCTTAAAGGAGTTCAGGATTTTTGCCTGGAAACCCTGAGTCCCCAAACGCTCTCATTTCCACAGGGCACCTCAGAAAACTGCCAAAGGAAAGGAAAGGATACAAACAGGAGGAGCATACTCCCCTCTTAACTTATTCAGTGTTTGCCCCGAGATGCTGGCCAGCTGTTGGCTGAGTTGTTGGGTGAGAGGAGGGCAGCTTCCACCCTCAGGGGCTCAGCCTCTGAAGATGGCTCGCCGGATATGCAGTGACCTGCTCCCTGGCACTCTGCGGGCAGAGAGGAAGACGGTGAGGGGTGAGGGGCAAGGGGTGGGGTGGCCTTGTCTGAGGATGGCATCGGAGATGAATTCACTTAGAAGGTGACACTCAGCAGGGTTTGAACAGGTAAGTTGGAGTTACCCGGGAATGGGGTGGGAGAGGCAGTCTCGCAGGAAAGGCCTTGCTGGGGAGGGCCAGTCTTGTGCTGCTGGAGAGCACCAGGAGGCTTCTTTGGGGAATGGGGACCAGAGGCCAAGCAGTGACTGACTTTGCCCAGTGAGTGCGGAAGAGTGGACCCTTCAGGGGACGGGGCCTATGGAAGGCATTTCATTGGTCAAATCGCTGTTTTAGAATAATCATTCGGTCCGAAGGGGAGGTGACTGAGTTGGAGGCAGGATGGTGAACTCACTGGGAAGCTCTGAGTAGGGGAGAGGAAGGAGGAGCGGCACCGAGGGGAGTTAGGTATGTGGTCATGTGGCCCCAGGAAAGGAGCAGGCTTCTTTTGCCTTTCACAGCAAGACTGCACTTCTCTCCTCAGCGCCCCACCTGCTGCCTTTAGGCTGGCACCAGCTTGGCCAGGTAAAAGTTTCCAAGTGGGTCAGCCTGGGATTAAGGTTGCCAGTGTGAGTGCTGAGCACAGCCAGGTGCAGGCCTGGTGGGTAACCATTAGACACAGTCCTTTCTGTGGCCCCTGAGAGGCTAGCACACAATGTGCAGAGTTAGAAAGAGGAGTGCGGTAACTGGGGGGGGCGGTGATGGCATGGCCCGAGGTGGCCCAGGAACTATAGGACTGGGCGGGGACAGGCCAGAGTCCTGCTGAGAGTCCTGTCCCATCTCAAAGACTTTGAATCTACTCTCACAGAATCTACTTTTCCCACTGAGACCTACCTCTGAGTTTGGAGATGGAGGGAACTCTAGGCAAAGATGGAAAAGGGTCACAGGAGGGGGATGTGGCTGTTTCCAGGAAACCATAAACATGGCACCCACACAGCAGGCGTGTGCTAGTGTTTAAAGGGAGCTGAGGCTGTCCTTGAACAGACAGGCAGCCTGCTGGAAGGTTACCAGAGACCATAACCTGGCAGCCAGACAGAAAGAGAGTATTCTAGAAAGTCAGCAGGGAGAGGATACCTCAAAGCTGTGAATGCCTTGGTGGTCCATCGTGTGAGAAACTTAGGGATAGGGGTGCTCTGAGGAGAATCTATGCCCTCTGAAGCCTCTCCGAGAGGCCACGAAGCACAGAGAGGTGGGAGGATGTTGGGGCCTGAGCCCCAGCCAGCTCTGCCCAAGGGACCAAGGTGAGGATTGCGAATGCCCAAGTGCCAGCACAGGGAAGGTGTGCTGCGGCTGCTGGAGGCAGCAGCCATGTTCTCCCTTGCCCCGCCCCCCCCCTTCCCCCGCTGTGACAGGCAGGCAGCTTCTCCACACCTCCAGCCCCTTGCCCTGTCCGAATTCCATGCTATTATTGATTAGGGGAACTGGTCAAAGTGTGTGGGTGGGTCAGCACAGGAATACACACTGGCACTAAAATGCAATCCGGAAGGTCTGAAGGGAGGGGGGGCGCGGGGTGTAGATGGGAGAGGGAGAGGGGGAGCATTGCACAGTTGAGAGTCCTGCCCCATCTCAAAGATTTTGAATCTACTCTCACAGAATCTACTTTTCCCACTGAGACCTACCTCTGAGTTGGAGATCTGCAAGAGGGCTGGAAAATCATCCAAAGCATCAAGTAGCCACAGCTTAAATTTCTTACTAAATAGCCGGACAGACTTCAGGTGCTGAATAGAAACGTCTTCCAGAAAGTCATTGAGGAGGACATCCTCGATCCCCTGCAGCGGAGTGGAGACAGCGTGCAGCAGTGCAGGTGTCCTCCAGGCCCGAGGCACAGACCCGGAGAGGAGAGCCCCTGTCCGAGGGGCCACCAGGCAGCCCTCGCCCAGCTCACTGTGCGGGAGCAGAATCTGAATTTTTTCAAAGAGCTTAAAATACTGATAACTGATCCAAATTTTTAAGAAACACTGCACAGGCCATTCTAGATGGGTCAGACTAGAGTATTTTCATGGCTGAATCCAGTGCTGGCTTTCATCCTTTGTGTAAAAAACTTAGAAGCACAAAACTGTTTCCCAGAAAGTAAAAAGTAGCCCCAGCCAGGTGGTTCGGTTGGTTGGAGCATTGTCCCATACACCAAAGGGTTGTGGGTCCATCCCCAGCTGGGGTGTATATGGGAGGCAACCGATCAATGTTTCTCACATTGATGTTTCTCTCTCTCTAAAAATTAATAAAAACATATCCTCAGGCGAAGATTAAAAAAGAAAGAGGCTCATGACTAGCTTAAAAAACAACATATTTTCACCACAGAAACTGTAGTGAAAATATAACTGACCTCCAAATTACAATAATCAGTCCAGAGATAAAATATTTTGACTCGGTCTGAAGTTCCCTGGTCACTGAAGCCATAGGTTACCATGTACACTGGCTTTTTCTTTACATGAGGCAACTCAGACTGTCACTGAATCCAAAAGAAAAGCTGAGCACTGTTCGCTCCTCAGAGGCCTGAATCCGGGACGAGCGGAGAGGAGGCTGTGGCCCACCGCAGGCTCTGTACAGCCACAAGCCCAGTGTCTTCCTACCTTGTACATCTGTATGTTATAGCATTTACAGAGCTGGCACAGCTCCGGCAACGCCATGAGCACCACTGTATCCTGTGGCAGAGCTTTCCAGAAGGAAGTGAGCAAGTCCTGCGCCTTCAGTGCACACATTCCAGGTGGCAACCCCTAGAGATTTAATGGGGGAACCTTCCTTCCTGTCACGGCTCATCCCTCTCAGCACCTTCTGCCTCTCCTGAGTTACTCTATCAATTCTCCTCAATGTCTTTATTCCTCCGGCATCCTTGAAGACACTACTTCCAGAATTATCACTCCCAAAGTTATTGCATCCTGTCACTCTCCTTCTGAAAATGCCTCACTGGTTTCCTACAGTCTCTTGGGCGAAATCCAAATTACTCAGTCTGGCATTGACAAGCCATCCACCATCTGGACCTCACCCAGAGTCTCCTGCTCACCAACATTCTCACCTCTGGCTCCTCACTGTCCACATACATCTCAGCACAAATGCAAGTTATACCCTTAAGATAATTGTCTCCTAAAGAAAGATCCAGCTCAAGGGCAGTGTGGCCCCAAAAGATGTCTATATCCTAATCCCTGGAACCCTACCTGGCAAAAGGGACTTTGTGATTAAGGCTAAGGATCTTGAGATGGGGAGCTTATCCTGGATCATCCAGATGACCCTTAATGTAATCAAAAGGGTCCTTAAAAGCAAATAGTCTTTTCCAGGTGCAGAGAATCATAGAGAGGGCAGCATGGAGAAGGACTCAGCCTGCCTTTGCTAACTTTCAAGACTTGGGAAGAGCCACAAGCCAAGGAATAGGACAACCCAAAGCTGGAAAAGTCAAGGAATGGGTTCTGTCCTAAGTCTCCCAGAATGATCACAGCCCTGTGAACCCTGTGATCTTAGCTTAAACAAGAGGAGAAACTGTGTTGGACTTGTGACCTGTAGAACTATAAGATAATAAGTTTGTGTTGTTTTAAGCCACCAAATTTGTGCTAATTTATTAGAACAGCAATGAGAAATGAACATAGGCTACTTTTTACAGGAAAGCCCACCACAATCTTTTTTCCTCCCTCCCACTTTGGAGTTCCCAACCAACTGATGGCTTGCACTGCCTATTGAACACAGTGATTTCATGTCTATCTCAGCTCCCCAACTAAAAATCTGTGTGGGCTGTAGGCAGGCTTTTGTTGAGCCTTGATTGCTAATGGTGTATCTGGGAGGAACTGACCTCCAGGCCAAGTGGCTGTGAAGACCAGCTGTGGGAGAGCTGCTATGCAGGGGACACCCCTATGGAGGAGGACTTGCTTCAGTGGGGCTTTGGTGCTCAATGAGTCTTCCACTACAGTGTCATTTATGGATGCATAGAGTTGTAATCTGATATGGTCTGACGCTATTCACCAGGTGCACTGGCTCTAGGGCTTTTCCCAGCAGGTACAAAGTCAGCCACTAACTGGGGCCACCTGGCAGGAGCTACAGAGAGATCTGTAAATAGTTGATACTTCTATTGGGCTAGGAAGTGCCAAAGTGAGGCCCAGCTGTGAAGCAAGGCAGGCTGGTGCTAGTTCTGGATTTGGGGCCTTTTATTGATAGGTTTGGGGCATGCTGTCACCAGCTGCAGCTTGTTTGAGAGATTTTAGCAAACTATTAAACCAGAGCCAGGACATGCCATTCATATGTAAAAGCAGCTGCCAACAGCTTGGGTGGGGTTGCAAATTTTATGGGGCAAGATCTCAGGAAATCACCAGGGCGGAGTAAACAGTGTGGGCCACTCTGATGGAAACTCAGAAATGGCTGCCAGTGAGCTCTACAGTGGAGGAGGTCCCAGTACAGGAACAATGACCCCCCAGAGCACCCTGTCTGGGACAAAGCTGCCCCTGAATTTCTACCCCAATTCCAGGGTATATAGCTCCTCCTCAAATGTCCATGGATTGCCCCAAAGCCACTGCCCAGCACCATAGCTCAGAGGAAGAAAGGCTGTGTAAGTTCATGTGTGGGCCCTTTAAGAGGAACACCTGGGACTACAGCAGTCTCCATGTCACTCAGCCACAATCCTTGCTGGTTTTTATCAGCTCAAAGTTGTGGGGACTTCTCTTCCCAGCTCTGAAACCCTGGGCTATGGATCTGGTGTAAGGCTGGGATTCTCTGCTTCTCATGGGAGGCCTTGCAGATATCTTTCCCGATTAAAAAAACAACAATGCACGTGGGTGCTAAACAGCCTGTTCAGTGCCTCCTCCCCTTCTACCAGTATCAATGTGCTTTCTTATTCTCTAGTTGTAGAATTCCTTTCACCAGATTTCAGACAGTTCTTATTGATGGTTGTTCTGTATTATAGTTGTAATTTTTATTTGCATGTGGGAGGCAGTGAGAACAGGCATTTGTTTACTTATGCTGCCATCTTAGTTTTTCTGTTTTTTGTTTTGTCTTTTTGTTGTTATTTTTTATAATCCAAATGACTTATTTGAGTTTTAGCATCATCCATTCTACTTTTGATTCCTGGTAAATTATTCTTTATTTCCATTAGTATGTCCTTCGTTTCTGACTGGTTCTTTTTTTGTGGTTTCTACGTTCTTTTTCATGCTATTAAAGTTCTCACTAAGTTCTTTGAACATCCTTATAACTATTCTTGTGAACTCTATCCCATAGTTTGCTTGCCTCCTCTGTTCACAGAATAGTTATAAGGATGTTATTTAGTTATTTTTCTGAAGATTTCTCCTGTTCTTTCCTTTGGAACTAGTTTATTTGTCTCTGCACTTTGGTTTATTTCTATGTATTAGATAAAGCTGCTACATTTCCCTGACTTGGTAGTCTCCTTGTGTAAGAGATGTCCTGCAGGGCCTAGTGGTACAGCCTCCCCAGTCATGGTAGCTGGGGACTGCAGGTGTACTCCTGTGTGGACTGTGTGGACTGTCTTATTATAGTTGATTGCTGTTGGCATCACTGAAAGGGATTGACCCTCAGGCCAATTGGCTGTGAGGACTGGCTGAGCCTACAGCAGAGGAGCTTCCATGTAGAAGTCAATGCAGTCTCAGTGTGACTTCTTTAAATCCCAGTTGTAGAACTTCCATTCAGCTATATTTCAAGTGGTTCTGAATGATGTTTGTTTTATAAATTAGTTGTAATTTTGATGTGGTTGTGGAAGAATTTGAGTACCACATTTACCTATGCTGCTATCTTGACCAGAAGTATCCAAAACTTTATTCTATTCAAATATAGAGAGTATAGTTTTTGTGGGGTTTTTTTTTGTATTTGTGTTTTGTTTTCTTTCATATCTCAATTAGCTTTGAAGAGCACTAGTCACAGAATATGTTTTCTAAAGGTAGTCCATTCAATGATAATTGTCAACAAGATAGCACCAGAGAGCTATCACATTGTTTTGGACAACTAAAGTAAAATTCAACTTGTGATGTCATAGCTATTAATAGCTCTGGTGTCCCAATTTAAAGAGCTATCATTGTAATATAGAAGCACATCAACACAGATTTAACACTCACAAAATTACCACCTTTTAATTATAGTGAAAGAAACATATTAAACAGCTGATGGGCAGCCACACAGTATGGTCCTTGAAGACAGGACCTCATCTGTCCCCATATAATGTGTGACACACAGTGGACACTCAATAATCCGATCAAATTGGTGAGTGGTTAGGACTACACATAAGAATATTACACACAGGAAAATAGTTGTATCTAATTAAGAAATCACTGCTTATTTCTGGGTCTATTATAGTAAATCTATTTTATTCAGAACTTACTGTTCCATCTTGTTGGATAATGCTGCCATAATTAGTAGATTCTTCAAAGGCAATGACATCTCCACTGTGACAGAACAAATAACAGAGTAATATTTTTAGTAAGACACTTATTTCTGAGCATATGAATAAAGTTTCTTTTGCAGTGAGGTAATTTATATGGGGAATAACTTTTACTTAAAAAACATTCTTGAAGTTTATATCCAAAACTAGTGAATATCTCCTAATTTCATTTATAAAAAAAATAATCAATTTCTATAACTAGGAGAACTACATATTAATATTAAAAGTTTATTCACTACAGAAGGAAGATATTATGTCATTATAGGTAGAGCTCACTCTTATGAGAAAAGAAAAAATATTATGAACATGAAGTCTTATACTTTCTGACATGGTGTTTAAAATGATCGATTCAGAAACAATGATATCCTCTGAATTGATGGATATAGCAGAATGTCTTCACAGAACAAGGAAAATGAGAATGTAAGTTCCATTTCACCATGCCTCTTAGATTCATATATTATACTGGAGACATGTAAATGTCATGGAGAACAAACTCAGTTTTACCCATGTGGTATGGTACATTTTCCCTTTAATACTGGGCATTTGAGAAACTGGGAGCACAGGAACTCGAATTTTTCACAGGGAGTGTTCATTCTTCAGATGCCAGAAGATAGTTTCCTCACTATCTTCACAGCTTTGGCATCTCTGTCCACTCCAACACATTTCCTCCCACTTGATTGTTCTGACTCTACCTAAACACACAAAGAGGAAGCCACCAGACTAACACTACTTTTGGAAGCAATGTCTTCAAGGTAGAGATGGCCTGGGAGGGAGGTGGGAGTGAGAGGAGGTGAAAGGAAACAGCTGTTATCTCACATAGAAAGGTGCTACATACCCTCCCAGTTTCTCTAAAGCCCCAGGAACTCGCTCCTAAAGGTTTATGTTACATAATTCTCCAACTCAACTCAAGGAACACTGGGCTGAATACATGACACCCATCTGGTCAATGTTTTTATGTAACACTCTATTTAAAAGAGGGCAGATAGGTTCAAGTTCTGGAATCAAATCCACTAAAAAGTCACTCAACTGAAAAATCTACATATAAACGAATCCACACAGTTGAAACCCATATAGCTTGAATCAACTATCAATATATATCTATACATAGGATGATGCATGGAGAGACAAAGATTAAGAATTAAAAAGTTTTTAGAATTCTACAATACTTGTCGTTCTTTCAGTGGTGTCTTCTTGAGTAAGTATGGACAATGGAGGATTTTCTTCAGAAAAAATTTATAAACAGCCCATTGCTGCACAGGACATTATATCAACAACAATAAAACAATTAATAAAATCTGGAATGAAATAAGACAAAAGAAAACATCAGAAATGAAAAGTTCACTGAATAATGGGTAGTCATCAACCTTTAAGAGACATTTTAAAAATCACTTGAGATTTTCTTCAACTAAATTGGAGGTAGGGTAATTTTTCTATCATTCCACATATCAACATGCTATTCCTAATATGTTTTCTTTGTAAAATGAATATATTCAATTGCATCCATACACCCATCCATCCATCTAATTGTCCATCCAACTGTCCATTTCTTATTCATTCATCAAATCGTTATTGCATGCTTACTCTATGGTGGGCATTGTTCTAAGCCCTACTGGATATAGCTGTGGCAGATAAGGTCTTTTCTCACAAAAGTTATAGCCTAAGAGGAGGAAAGATGTTACACAAATAATTCAAAGAGTTTAAGGGAAGGTTTTGACAAATAAAATATAGGTTTTTGGGTAACATATATATGTTAAAGGGCCATCCTATTTTCTTGTTAGTTTGACAGTTTACATCCCTATAAACTATTGTAGCAGCTGGATAAGCTCAAGAGAGCTTCACTTGTGATTAATTAGTGTACTTTGGTTGGCACATTACACAACACCATCTTTGGACAGCACTTATTAAACTCTTTCCCTAATGACAATAATCTTCATGAGACATACCTTTGTACCCAGAAACAGGAATCTGAAAGCTAGAAGGTCTAGTTTTTGATAAAATAAATGACATGGAAAGACTTCACCTATCACTTCCTTCTCCCTCCCAACCCTGACCCTGGTAGCTTTGGAGGCCAATCGCATGGGTGATGCTATCACATATTTTGGGGTTTTAAATGAAACTCCCACATTTCTGTCATGTGTTCAATGCAGAATGAGTATAATTCAATAGCCACTGAAAGGAGAGTGGTGTCAACCTTTCACTGTTATAAGGAGAAAGGAGAGGGCAATTAGGCCTATGTGTGGCAGACAAGGGGGCACCATCCTAATATAGTCACTGAGGAGCTATATCATTTTTGAAGATACGCCTGGTTAAAAGGCGATGAGAGGCAATACTAGAGAATGGCTACAAAGCAGCTGAGCAGAGAATCAGTGACTCAGTGCTGGAGACCAGCCTCCTGTAAGAGGGTGATGGTGAAGGGCCAAGTTAAAGGCATTACTCTTAGAGGTTCTGGCCAACAAGGTCGAATGAACACTTCAGGCGACAGCGGAGCTTTAATCTTGCAGGCAAGGCATGGTTGGGTGAGGAAGTGAGACCATGCAGACAGTGTGCCCCCTTCTGCACGCTGGGGACTGCCCCCCAAGAGGAGGGTCACTGAGGGTGAGGAGGCCAAAGCAGTATTGGAGGTGACAGTTTCAGCTCTCAGGGTACCAGCCAGGATGGCCTCATGTTCTGGGGTCACTGCCTCTGTGTCATTTCCGTATGTGGTTCTGATTCAGTCCTATGGAACATTTATTCAGTTACGATCAAAAATAGTCATTACTAAAATATGCCTTTAATAAAACCACAGCAAACACCCAGAGTTGGCCTTGCTGTGAACAAAGGACTTCCAGTCCAAAGAGAAATCTTCCTCCATGGTCCTCCTGGGCCTGAGACGCTTTAAGGTGCCAAATCATAATGACAGAGAAGGGGCCCGGGGCAGTGGGGAGCGATCTGAGGTGAATCCGTGCGGAAGGTCCCTTGGGTTCCTTGTGAGCTGCCCCTCAGCATCTGCACAGAGCCCCAGCCAGGCAGGCACAGGCTGTTAAGATTCAATTACTGGGAGGAAGGGAAAGAGCTCAGAGGTTCCAGAAAGGGCCAGGGGAATGCAGGGGGAGAGAACAGAGGCAGAGTCCTCTGGGGAGAAGGAAGTCCCAGGGGAGAAGGAAGGCCCAGAACAGAGCAGGCTTCCTTGTCCAGCTATTTCACTACCTTGCTATGTGGCCTTACATGCATTGCCTGGGCTTTGAGGACCCCAGTTTTCCATCCCTCTAAAGAGAGGGAGTGGGATTTAAGGACTCCTGAGACCCTTTCTAACTTTCAGAGCCTGTCCCCTGGGAACAGGTGGCCTCCAGTGCCCTGCAGGGCTTACATGATCGTTGGAAGATGCTTTCTGGGCTTTGCACAGGGCGGGTGCAGAGACCTTCCTACTGGAGTCTTGCAAATGGTCCTTCACTCAGCACAGTGCTGACAGCCACATCTCACTTTAATTAGTGTTATGATCAATTGGGCTAAAAAGGTCCAGTGTAAAGAGAATTAAGAAATGATTTTATGGTACACAACTTAACTTTTCATGCAATAAAATATTTTTTACTTTATTTTTTAATTGATTTCAGGGAGGAATGGAGTGGGAGAAGAGCTAGAAACATCAATGATGAGAGAGAATAATTGATTGGCTGCCTCCTGCACACCTATGCTACGGATCCAGCCTGCAACCCGGGCATGTGCCCTGACCGGGAATCCAACCCTGACCTTCTGGTTCATAGTTTGACGCTCAACCACTGAGCCACGCCAGCCAGGCCCCATAAAATCTTCTAAATGTAGTGTTAGGTTGATATGCTTTTTGGCATTTAACTTTGTTTTAGTCTAACTACAATTTGCATTCACATTCTCAGGTTTTGACATCATTTGTCATTAATCCAGACTTTCATTTACATCATTTTGGCATTGCAATTTGCCCTCTGAAAGCACTCTAACAACAGTGAAACAACTTGAAGCAATTATAAAGGTAAGAGGATAAAAATGTAATAAAATCTAGTTCATAGACTAGGCTTGTTTAAAGTGTCAGACTGCAGGACAAAGGTGCTTCATCTTCTAATCATTAAAGAATCTCATTTTAACATTTAGTCAAATCACACTAATTATTTTGGTTTTGAATAGAAGATTTCCTTAATTTAATGAATATTTTTATAACTGAAGTTAAAATAGTAAATATACATATGTATTGCAAAACACTGTATTTAATATCATCTTGATTTTATACTAGTACTAATCACTAAAATATATTGAGCACTAACTCATTGCTGAGTGTTTTACTTGCATTACCTTAGTTCTCACAATAACCTATTAAGTAGGTAGGTAGTAATGCGCTATTAACCCCATCTATCTATAATATTAAAAGGGTAATATGCTAATTAGATCAGACATCCTTCCGGATGAAGCCGGGGCCTGAGGGAAGCTTGGGTTTGGGTACCTGCCAGTGACCAGAGGGAAGCCCAGGTCCCAGGTGCCTGCCAGTGGCTGGAGGGAAGCCTGGGTCTTAGGTGCCAGAGGGAAGCTGGGGGAAGGAAGGCCTATTCTTGCACGAATTTCGTGCATTGGGCCTCTAGTATTTATATAAAAAGCTAAGTGACCATCCAACTGTCCAGTCATCTGGTACATATGACACACACTGACCACCAGGGGGCAGACACTCAACACAGGAGCTGCCAAGCTGTGGTGACTTGACAGCAGCAGTTCTCAAGTGACACATCCCAGACCAGAGAGGCAGGAGCCTGATTCCTCGAGGGGCCACATGATTCCAGCTTCAGCTGTGGGTTATGTTGTTGCTGGGGCACTTTTGGCCCTGAAACTGGTTTACTGCTCACTTGTGTTTGCATTCCACACCCTGTACAGCACCAATTTTGCAGGGTGCCCTCTTGCACTCTGGGACACCTATCCTAATATATAAAATTCACGGGTCCGTAACAAATGACCAAAAGTTTGACCTAACACCGGAAGTCGGTCTTGCAGTCAGTGGTGGGTTGCTGT